CCCCAAAACCCCAAAACCCCAAAACCCCAAGTTGACAAACCCTTTACTAAATCTCAAAAATAAATATTTATATAAAAATGTGGATACTTTTAGCAACACTCCTATTTGTCCCTGCCTTCTGTCAGGACTCACAGTGCAGAAGTACTTCTGTAGCGACCAAGGAAGTTTACACAAGCTCAGGTAAGACTGTAGGTGAAACTCTAGGTGTCACAGCTTACTACGTACAGAACGTATTCGTAGATCAGACAAGCGAGTACATCCATGGGTATATTACATTTACAAATGGAACTTCAGCATGAACTTTGATGAAGAAATCAGGACAGGATTTAAACTGTAAGTTTGGAATTAGACCCCCTGATGTTAAAATTTAAAGAAAGTAGAGTCACTGTTGTTACAATAGAAGCTAATTTTAAGTATTATATCGACCGATCTTACCTTGGCTAAAATCCTGATGCTTCCTGTTAGGCTTATTTTCCTAACCTCTAGTTATGTTTTTAACACTATAATGGAAAATATAGGGAATTTAGACTGGAGCAAAGTTTATATGGCAAGCATACCAAAATTCAATGCAGATTTTGTGGAGAGTGAGAGCTGGATTATCGGAGCATATTTTGAACCATCAAAGGATAGCCAGATAGTCAAAGTAAAGGGATCAGATGGAAGTGTTATTAAGACTGTAAGCAACAGCATGTGTAAAATAAGCTCTTACGTCCATTCTATCGTTGTCCAAAGTAAATCAAATCAACAGTAAGCATTTTTAAGTTAAAAATAGCTATTTATTTCAAAATTGCCAAAGTGATGGAACCCTAAGATCAAGGGTTTGCAAAATAAGCTTAGCAGATTATGGAGCTACATGAGTGACAACTTCAGATATCACAAAAGATTCATTTGGGATGGCTCTGTTGAATGATCCTCAAGTGTTCCTGACAGGATCTAATGGAAATCTTGCATCTGTTATTTTCTTCAAGGCTATAGATTTTGGCACAGCGAGTATGGTCTGGGAGTCTAAGATGGTATGCCCAGATACAAATTGCCCAAATTTTAGGCCAGTGTCTATTCATATACCTTCAGTGGATTTGATCATTTTTACAATGATTTTTAAAACTTCTGATAAGCTAGCTATTCTTGAAATTGATGACCAAAATGGTCTTTCTAAGAGTGGATCAACTCCAATTATCTTTGCTGACTGCCTTTCCTGATGCTCAAATTTTGAACATGAAGGCTATGCTTATATAATGGCATGGTGTAGCTATGGCTCGATGATCTGTAAATATGACTACACAAACCATCTTGTTGTCTCAGTAAAGCACAGTATTTCATCTGACATAGCACTCTATCAAGCCAAAATGCATAAGTAATTTGATTTTTTTTTATTTTTCTATTTATATTTTCCTAAATTCTTGATCTATCAATTACTGTTTTTATATTGGTAAAAATATTGATTTACCTTTCTTTTTGTTGGTACTTGTTCTCATCCATTTTTAAATTGCACTCTAACATTGATTTAGAACTACAGATGGCTTATATAGAATGATCATGGGTGGAAGGCTGACTCCTATAGATTCATACTTGCTTTATTCTTCTTTTGAGACTCTACAATATACTGAAGATTTTATCCAAAACAGTACTACTCTTTATACAAAGCTCGAGCCTAGTGACACAACTTATCAGATTGTAGCTGGTCTTACCAGCACTTTTGCATTCTATGGACCTACTTTAAATGTAGAAACACCAACAACTTCATCAGATTTTACAAGAGACTTCACCCCTGGAATTGTATTTTCAAGGAAAATTTACTATAATTTCGATACTGAAATGTTTACTTTAACCGAGAATGCTGAAGGAGAGATAAAGCTGAACCTGACGAGAGCTTGAGATTCAAGTTCTGTTATCTCAAATAACATGGTAAACAACTCTCCTTATCCCTATCCAAGCTGGATCACCTTTGATTCCTCAGCCAGCACCATCACTTTTAACTCTCCAGCTAGTGATGATGCAAACTATTCTGTTGCAATTGACACTCTTGCATCTGGTATGGCAACTTCTCAGAAGAAATTGCTCTATTTTTCAGTTCAAAAATGAAATGTTCAGAACTGTAAGAAATGCTCTGCCACTGACACTTCCAAGTGAGAAGAATGCAAGATATACTATGAAGGAGATGCATGCACAGAGGTTAACCTAAATGAAGCCCAAGCAGTTGCTACCGCTGCTACTACGGTACAGGCTACTTCTGTAGCCTTGGTAGCTATTTCTTCTGCAGTCTCAGTGAACTCTCCAGTGCTTGTGTGGGTTATCATCAATCATCTCCAAATTCTCACGCTGCTCATTTTCATGAAGGCTTATGTACCAAGTGAGGTTGTTGAATACTTGACTTCTTCTGGTTTCTCTTTCTTCCAAGCCAAGTCCTTAGACCTTCACATTCTTAACTCAGCTGAAGAGTGGTTTGAGGAAGGCAAGCCAGATGACAGACTTCAGATTCTAGGCTATGACTCTGCCAGTGCCTTCAAGAATCATTTTGGGATCATTGTCATTCTGTTGATGGTGATAGTTTTGCATCTTTGAGTATGACTCTGCTGCCGCCCATTTTGAAGAGATGAAGGAAAGTGTAAGTGATTGAAGAAAATATTCGCGTGCTGGTAATTTCTACATCAGAGTGATTATTGAAAGTTACCTGATGCTGGCTTTGATCTCATGCTTTGAACTATACAGGTTTGGAATAGATGATTGGAACGAAAGAACTTCCTTTCTAATTTCAGGAGTATTTGTAGTCTGCTGATGCTTTTTCTTGATCTTTTGATGGTTGCATGCTTACAAACAAAAACCTCAACAATTGATGGAAAATGAGAAACAACAAGCTGAAAAGATGGATGAGCTATATACAGGCTTGAGGAGGACAAAAATGAGAAACTTCTTTCCTTCGATCTGGCTAACAAGGAGGCTACTCTTTGCACTTTTTCTATGCTTTATGCAATGGAATACTTATATCATTCTCATTGGAATAATACTGAGTATACAGCTGTTTTACTTAATTTCTTTGAGTATTTTAAGACCCTATGAGAAATTAAGAGTAAATTTTATAGAAATGATCAATGAGCTGTTCTTCACAGGGTATTTGTGAGGATTACTAATCTTTACAAAGGAAGACTGGACAGATTCTTTGATAACAATGACACTCTACACAATGCTTTCTAACACAATTATCATTGGAATTATTACTTTCATCTGACTTATTGATGACATTGTAAAACTCCTTTCCAAATGTTGCAAAAGAAGTTCTAACCAAAACCAAACAGTACCAGTCACAGACAACTTACCCCATCCTCCTACCACCAAAAAGCCCCCTACAGCCAACCGCTACATCCACGAAAATAGAAGCAGCTCAAATGTCATTCTTCACCTAAACTAATTTCCTAAGTATCCTTCAACTCTATCAGATCTTCTTGGGGTTTTGGGGTTTTGGGGTTTTGGGGTTTTGGGG